GCTAGCCATCCAAGACCCGAGACAGGAACACCACCTACACCATTACACCTACCCCTACTGTATTTTAACTGAAATCTTGCTGGTTTGACTGATGAAAGCCACAGTCTGTAGAAATCAGTTTGTAATCCAATTTTCGAGACATCAATAAATCAGAATGCCTTGTTCAGTTTTTGAATAGCCATTAGATTTTTCCTTTTTCAAAAGGTTATTATATTAACTTTTAATTATGCTAGAATAATGCTTTTCATTAATAACGTTTTGAGGCAATCGTTCAATGACTTTTAACCAACTAATCTTAAGGTGATTTCTAGTCCATGTCTGAAATCAGTTTCCCTTAATATCACACAGGTGTCTTAGCAAAGTGATCATGTATCTACTAATTTGTTTGATAACTGTACTTGTGCTATAGTTCTTTTAAAAAACTGTATAAGACCAATGTTATTTTTCTTGAAAATACATCTAAAAAAATGGGGTCGTCTTATATCCGGGGTCTAAACTTTGTGTCAATAATACACTCCAAATACAGTATGTGTCAATGAGATGGCGAGCCCAAAAAGACAGTCTTAATATAACACTCTGACTTTTTGGGACTTTAGCTTATGCACCATATCCCCCAGAGTTAGATAAGTCCATACATACCTTTTTCATCTCTGTGCGTGCTGTAACTCTGTCTGACGTACCCACCGCTAGCCTAGCTTAGCACAAAGACTGGATGTAAATGGCTACAGCTAGCATACTAATCCCAAAGTGATAAAATAATGCAAACATTTTCCTATTTACATGTTGTCATTTGCATAGTCACAGAGTGTACTTTCAAGTGTCATAGTGTTTATTTTTGCTTTCAAACATCAACGAAGGTAAAGGTGTTTATTCAGTTCCATAGGGAATTCAAAATGGCCATTTAAAAATAATATTCTCAGTATGTATTTAATTTAAAAGAGTCCACACCATGAGCTCAATATTAAAGCTGTATGCATACATTTCATGACATGATGGATTTAATTCTAAACAGCCAGTCATATTGATCAAATTTAAATGTTGCACTGGCTTTAATATTGTTGAGCTGGCTTTAAAATTTAAAATTTCTTTTAATTAATAATTTTAAAAAAAAATACACGAGTAATTTGTGCATAATAAATTGTGGTACACAAACCAACAATGACTAACAAAATTCCTTCTTTTTGTAACTGGTTGAAATTGTTGGGGGGGAAAACCCACTGTATATTTAAATCAACAGAATAATTGTAGTCAGAACCCCAGTCTTACCAATAAAAAATAAATGTTTATTGATTTTGTGTTGAAATGATGTTGCCCTGTATTAGGAATATAAAGTGGAAAATAAATACTGTATATATAAAAGTATCCTCATGTACAATGCAGTATGTAAGCTGCATTTTCAAAACGACTTCCGAAACCTGTTGAAATCTTGCAATTCATATGAGACTGATTAATAATCTATAATAACTATAGAGATGAGAAGCATAGACACATGGAGGTGTAAGGACAAATGGTTCAAACTGATGAATTATTTAATTTTCCTCTCTCTACAGACAGCCCAATACAAATGGAGCCCATATTTCAGTTACAGGTGAATCCCTATAGGCTAAATGTAAGGCTAAGACAATTCTCAAAATTAGTTCCATTGGACACAGCTATTAATTAAAATTTAATAATAACTCTCCTTACACAAATGAATAATTTTAACCATGAAGTGGAAGTTTGTTTCGTGACGACTTGGGTCTTCGAAATATTTAATGAATGGAATAAACTTCACACTTTTAATAATGCATGCTTAATCATCTTATTTCCTGAAGAATGTAAAAGGCATAACCCAAGTGACGCATAAAATGTCAAATAGCACTTAAAAATTAACCATGCGATTAGCAAACACAACGGAGCCCTTCTCGAGCGAGGACAAATCATTTTTTTATCATATGATAAAACAACTTTTTTATCATATGATGGGAAAGGGTATCAATTTCACAAAGGTTCTGTTCTGAAGAACCACTGCGATGCCCTCAGCTGCCATAATCCTCCGGTGGTGACTTTAATTAAAAGAGAATCTTTAATTAGTCGAGTCTGCAGCGACTGACATTTTGGATGCAGTTTGTCATTTGCGGTGAAATGGCACAGTCATGACACAAAGACCACAGGGCGAGATTCACAGATCACTGCACTGTAAGGGTTTCGGATCAATTACTGTAAACACCAGGGTGTGGAGAGGCTAATGTTATATGCGGTGACATCAAGTCTGTTGATTGTGCGAATGACATGAAACCGCTCATTGAACATTTGGCTATTTTTTTTTCCTACTGCAAGAATAGATAGAGACTACATAATAACCACAAACATTTTCCTCATGTTTGAATTATTTTTATATATTAATAGCTGTGTGTGAAATTACATTTATGGTCCTACAGGATTCACCCTTCTGTAATGTTTAAAATACATTTATTTTCCATATTATTAATTACACAAACTACATAAAATATTCGAACATAAACATCAAACTAAAGTCAAACCTAATTTGTTTACTCACGTCACATGATCAATCGTAGTGATCAATCAAAGGTTTATGTAGCTATCACACACACACACACACACACACACACATGTGTGTATATATATATATATATATATATATATATGACACACACACGCACACACACACACGTGTGTATATATATACTGTGTATATATATATATATATATATATATATATATATATGACACACACGCACACACACACGTGTGTGTATATATATATATATATATATATATGTGTGTGTGTGTGTGTGTGTGTGTGTGTGTGTGTATATATATATATATATATATATATATATATACACGTGTGTGTGTGTGTGTGTGTGTGCATTCAGCATTTTTTTATTTATTATTTATTTATTTATTGAGATTAAATAAGGCTTTTTGATCTGTTCATGTTTAAAGCGATTGGGTCACTTTCTAGGATTTTAATATACCAGTCAGGCCGTTAGATTTCTAGTGACTTTCATTGTATGGACAAAAACAGCTAAAAAAGATTTATTGTTATTTTTCCACATTCCACATTTTCAGTGCCATAAGTAAAATATGACAGAATTTTTTCATTTTTGGATGAAATATCCCTAATAATATTTGATCAGTTCTCATTGGTGAATACGTACAAACTAACCAGAAACATTTTTGGGGAAAACCTCTATGTTACATATTAAAGCCGCTGTTTATGTATATGAGAGAGATTGTTTTATTCCTGAAAGCTGTTAGGTGGACAGTGAGATTGGGGTTGTCCAATTCTGATTTCACCTTTAATACACCTTTCTCGCTCTCTCTTGCTTTCTCTGCCTTTGTTGCCAGTGCCACTATTGTTAGACAGTGATGGTCAATGCCTCTTTGACCTTCAGTACTTGCCTGCCTTAAAATGGTAGAAAAAAAGGCAAGATAACACCCAAGCATGATTGTATGTGAGTGTGGATGCATGTGTAATTTCAACCTTGACAGCAATGTCTGCCTCAGTTCAGCACAGGCAGGGTTGATCTCCCAGGGGCCTCCAGGGCAGCTACAGGGTAGGAGTGATGTGGGAGAGAGTGAAACCTTTAGGATGACTGACAGCTGTTATTCTGAACTGGATCAACCCTGTTCCCTCCGTCTCAGTTCTTCACTGACTAAAAAAAAAAAAAAAAAGAAGAAGAACAAGGTCCACCTGCTTGCATATTCACCAGACCAGATGTTGTACTATGAATGCAATGCTACATACACAGTGTATTTCTGTATCTTCACTGAAGTCACTGAAGAATATATACAGTATATATATATTAACAGAAAATCACAAAATTTAAAAGACTAGTTGAAAAAAAATAACCCAGCCAATCACAAGGACGAGTGCTGTAGAGCAGGCGTCACACAAGACGCATAAATCGAGTGCACGTGTAATGCGAAATGTTCTTGCCGGAAAAGTCCAGACGTACAAAATAGCAGGAATCTGAGTGTATAAAGCAGCAGCGTCAAACAGTGTTGCCCCGCAAGTGTCACTGACCAGTCTACTCTTCCTAAAATATAAACATAACACATGTACTTGCAGTCTAAAAACGGAAGCGCCACTCAATAGTGTTTTACGTACCTTCATTTCATAACAGTCGCGCATCCATGTCATGCACACACAAGACCACACCATGAAGACCAAAGGAGAGTAACAACTGCCCACATTTGCGATTTATCCTCAATCTCAACGCATCACCAGACGCATGACCGCGCAAGAGGAACGCCAGAGGGGAGTAGCAGCTGCCAACAGCCGCGATTTTACCTCAAAGCTAAAACGGAATAGTTGTTTACTTGAAAACACGCGTCTCTTTTTAACAAGTCAGCCAAACTCATACCTCCAAGCGAGAACGGATGAGGAACCAGGAGGGGCGGTGCCCGGGCAATGACGCACCACGCAGACGACACCCACAGGTAAACAGTGACTCGAAACCCTTTTTAAATCGCCCCGCATCGTTATGATTGAACTCACGACCGAACACATTAGGTTAATTGGACGCGGCAGTACATCCCACTACACTAAGAATATTCCCGCTCATCCGTGAGAGATACGAGACCGGTGCGTCTCACAGGTGTCGCTCATCGTAATCATGCCACCGGCCTCGTGCCGTTCACCAGCGGCCCTCACTCGTCCTGCTCGTAAACATAATGAATGGCGACTGTAGAACACAAAAGCCGAATCCCGGACATTTTGGGCGATCTCGAAACACATTTTCATGCAGACTCAACACGGAGACTCTCTAGTAGCCTAGACTTAGTAGCCTACTGTGCTGGTGCCAGTTGAATTCATACAGTAGTTTTACTTAATTCAAAAACCTTTTTCTTTGTATGAAGCCACATTATGATCAGTCATTAAAAAAATTTAATATACTGTATACCCTGCAACCCACTAAAAAGGTTTTGACCACACATTTTCTATTTAAATTGGTTGTGTATCATTCTGTTGTGCTTTGTGTGTGTGCCAGGTGATCCAGCGCAGGGAGGATGGGTCTGTGAACTTCTTCAGGGAGTGGGATTCCTACAGAGAAGGATTTGGCAAAATCACTGGAGAGTATTGGCTCGGTAAGTTGTGTCTGTGTATGTGAAAGAGGAAGTCTGTGAGCATAAACTGTCATTAGTGTAAAAAGCTGCCAACACCCACATGCCCTCTCAAGCACAGAAATGCAGGCAATTGTACCCTTAGGCGTTTTCACACCCCTGGATATACTGCAGTTTAATTCAACACCAGGTACTCACTGTCCATCCGTTTGTCCATCCATCCATCCATCCATGTATCTATTTGTCTATGTATCTATCTGTGTCTATCTATCTATCTGTCTATCTGTCTGTCTGTCTGTCTGTCTGTCTAGAGAGAGAGAGAGAGAGAGAGAGAGAGAGAGAGATCTGTCTGTCTTTCTGTCTGTCTGTCTGTCTGCATTGTCCCTTACATGCATTTATTTGTTGCTCCATGAAAAGCACTGAATTAGAGCGCTAAACATCTATCTCCACATGATTACTGGATGAACAGCATCAACTATTTACCTCTGCTTTTCTTCCACTCCATGTAGCAAGCAGAAATCAAATCAACAAGAAAGCCCAAATTGCCATGTTTACAATTTTTTTGCAAGCCAAAATGGCTTTTGACAGCCAAAGCTCTATAATCAAGCTCTTAACCTGCAGAGAGGTTTAAACTACAATCATATTGTGTGTGTGTTGGTCTGCGTGAGTGTTTTTGTACCTCTGTTCACGTAATGGGACTAGCTTGCTGTTCTCTGCTAAGTTGCAGAGAGAAAGAGAGAGAGAGATGTACAGAGAATTTAAAGGACATAAAAACTCAAACACACACACATACACACATAGGTCAAAAATTGGTACAACGAATGCAGGATGACATATACATGTGGCATCAGTCAGTCCCATGGGTACGTGGATGAAGATAGAGTTGTTTCTAATATTGACAATGCCACCCCTCATCTACTGGTGTGGTCAAGTGAGGCACTTGCACTCCAGGGAATATGGAAATATATTCTCGTTGTCTTTCCCCTGCTAGGTAGATTAACATCAATATAAAGTTTGGTTTAGTCAAGTGTGAACTTACAGACTGGTTCTCCACACACACACACTGTTTGTATGCTGCGTTGCAGGCAGTCATTACACTGTCATTGATAGGATTATCCAGAGACATTGTCTTATTCACTCCAAATAGGCTATGTATAGACATTGCATAGACTTAAAATAGAAATTTTGGGCGACGCGCAAAAAATAATAAAAATATTATACATGTGTTTGTTGTACAGCCGCGGATCAGTTATTCACTGCAAACGCATCATAATATATTAACGCACTAACAGCACGCTCCTGCACCGCAACACACACTGCAAACGGGTGTGAAACGGACGTTAGATCCACCTACAGTTCTTAGAAACTTAGATGTGTTTAAGAACTCTTTTTTTAGTACAACAGCAGCACTCATCTTGTTTGATTATTAGAGGATGCGGATGACCAGTCGTAGACCGGAAACTGATATGCCGACTTCTGACAAAAGCGGAAGTTTGAAACTACGCGTGTGCAGATAGCCCATTCGATCTAATCAGCAAAAATCAGTTAAACTGACTCTATCATCACTGGAGAAGTCAGTCACACTTCACAAAGCAAACATGACAAAGGAAATGAGAGATCATTATCATGTGCTATTTAGACACATTCACTTTCTTTTTTTCTATTTCACTCTCTGTTCTCTTTCTGTCACTATCAGCACTCTCTCTTAATTTATTTCCTTCTGGTTGTAAATCCTCACACTCCCTGATCAATTATAGCACCATGAATTATGGCTCCCAACAAAGAGCATCCATTTTCTGTGCAAGTCATGAGTGCACCTCTATAATTTTCTCTCGCACAGACACACAATCTCGAGCAGGACAACTAGTGCACTTCCCATAATGCACTAACTCAGGCTGACTATGGGTGTCATTTGAGTTTAATATTGCTATGAAATATGATGCGCATAAAAAGTAAGTGGAGAACGAAGGGGGGATGTTGAGTCTTAATTGAGTGAGTGCATTAATATCAGTCCAGTGTCATAGAGGTGAAAGTGATCTCAAAATATAGATGTGTTCTGTAAGTGTGTGTCTGTAAGTACCTCATTGAAACCTTAGAGTTATTTACATTTAAATTTATTCATTTAGCTGACGCTTTTATCCAAAGCGACTTACAATTGCTATATATGTCAGAGGTTGCACGCCTCTGGAGCAAGCAGGGGTTAAGTGTCTTGCTCAGGGACACATTGGTGTCTCACAGTGGATTTGAACCCGGGTCTCTCACATCAAAGGCATGTGTCGTATTAACTTTCAATTACCATCTTTACGTAATTTTTCAATTGTCCAATCCATATTCTATCTTAGGCTTTACTTTAATCTGAAAAATGTTCCACATTGCAGTGGCATTGTACAGTAGTCATTCATTCATTCATTCATTCATTGAGATTGTCTTTTCAACAAGCATAAAAATGGCTCAGGTTACGTATGTAACCCTGGTTCCCTGAGAGGGAACGAGACACTGCGTTTTGAGACGCGGTGGGAACGCTCTGCGTGATTACGTCATGAAGTACATGTAAAATCAGTCCAATGGAAGCCCGAGACGTCATTGGTGACGTCATAGACCAGGAAATTATCTGCGCCAGCTTCTGAAAAAAAACCTGAAGCAAGTCGATTAGGGCATGCAGGAAGTATGGCAGGCAAAACGCAGCGTCTCGTTCCCTCTCAGGGAACCAGGGTTACATATGCAACCCGAAAGGTTCCCTTTCATGGGAACTTGAAGCTGAGTTTTGAGACGCAGTGGAATCCCCCATATCCACTATGCCATAGTGACAAATGCCCGTTCTGTGTGAAGTCCTTGGCACTAAGAAGCAAGCAACCTAGCCCTAGGAATGGAGAGGTCAAGGTCATAAAACCTAACAAATGTACAGTATGTGGAGAGGACCATCCTGCCGCATTACAAATGTCAAGAAGGGAAACACCCGGAATTAAGGACGTAGAGGCCGCCATACTTCTGGTAGAATGGGCCCGAACAGCCATAGGTGAAGGCTGTCCGGCCGCTTCATAAGCTAATGATATAGCCTCAACTATCCATTTGCTCATAACCTGTTTAGATGCAGGGCACCCTTTCTTGAGTGACCCAAAGCAGAAAAATAGCTGTTCAGACTTACGCCACAGGGCAGCTCTGTGAACGTAGTCATCTTATGCCCGAACTGGGCATAACAGGTTCAGTTGTTCCTGATCTGGGGTATTAAACAGTGGAGGATAAAAGGCCTGCTGCACTGGGACCTTAGGAATATAACCCGGTCTAGGGTAGAGAAATGCCTTCACCATACCAGGTGTAAAATCCAGACATGAGGGAGCAGCTGACAAGGCATGTAAATCTCCAATTCTCTTGATAGAAGAAATAGCAAGGAGAAAAAGAGTCTTTAGAGTGAGACATTTTCCTGAAACTTCTTCAATGGGCTCGAAGTGAGCCAAAGCCAGACCTTGAAGTACAATGGCTAAATCCCATGCCAGTGCTCTAGAGTGCAGTGCAGGTCTCAACCTCAATGTACCACGGAGAAAACGAGTAGTAAGAGGATCTCTCCCAATAGAAACACCCCCATAGGGGTGTGGTAGGCAGATATAGCCGTCACGTAAACTTCATGGGAGAGCCGTCTAGAAGAGACATCATGTCTGAAAACCAAATTCGAGTCGGCCAGTAAGGCGCTACTAGTAGCAGATGAGCCCCTTCCCGGCAAACCCTTTCCAGAACCCATGGAAGCATGGATATCGGGGGAAATGCGTACAGGTGTAGCCTCAGCCACACATGCACCATGAGGAGGGAGAACCACATGGAACAATGGGTTGTATCTGACGATGCGAAAAGGTCTACTTGAGCTCGACCAAAATTCTCCCACAGCAGCTCCACCACATCTGGGTGAAGTCTCCACTCCCCGGGCTATAGCCCCTGCCTCGACAGGATATCCGCCCCCACATTCTGATGCCCCGGAATGTACACTGCTCTGAGAGATATCAACTTCCCCTGGGCCCATAGGAGGATCTGATGGACCTGCTTGCAAAGGTGACTTGACCTCAGACCCCCCTGATGGTTGATATAGGAGACCACTGATGTGCTGCCCATTCAGACCAACACATGATGGCCTCCCAGGTCTGGCAGGAAATATTTGAGAGCACGAAATACCGCCATCATTTCTAAACGATTTATATGCCAGGAACATTGATGATCCTGCCAAAGTCCTTGCGCCGAGCGGCCACTCATGACCGCCCCCCATCCTGTGAGGGAAGCATCCGTCGAAAGCATGATGCGTCAACAAGAAACCCCCAACACTGGGCCCTGGGCGAGGAACCGAGGTTTCTTCCACATGACCAAGGCATGAAGGCATCGCCGCGTGACCTTGATCCTGCAGAATTTATTTCCCCTCGGAGAAAACCCCTTGGTCCTGAGCCACCAGTGCAGGGGTCTCATGTAAAGAAGGCTAAAAGTGATTATGTTGGACGCAGATGCCATGAGACCCAACAGTCTCTGAAACTGTTTTACAGTGAGTGACTGGCCTAATTTCACATTCTTTATAGCTGTGAGAATCGAAGAAATACCTGCAGGGAACAGACGTGCCTGCATTGTGGTCGAATCCCAAATTACACCTAGAAAAGTGGTCCTCTGAGCTGGGAGGAGTACACTCTTTCAGGTGTTGAGCCACAACCCCAAACCCTTTATATAGGACAGAACGACATCTTGATGACGAACTGCCAACTGCTCTGACCGAGCTAAAATCAACCAATCGCCGATGTAATTTAGTACGCGAATGCCCTAGTACCTCATGGGAGCCAGAGCTGCATCCACACATTTTGTAAAGGTGTGGGGTGATAAACCTTGTACTGGTATGCTTCGCCCCCAAAAGCGAACCTCAGGAACTTCCTGTGATGAGGATGGATAGATACATGGAAATACACATCTTTCAAGTCTATTGTGACAAACCAGTCCTCGGACTGAATCTGTGATACAATCTGTTTGAATGTAAGCATTCTGAACTTGAGTGTCTGAAC